CACATTTCCCCCACTTTTCCTTGGGCAACAATAAAGAACAATCAATTTAAAAATAATTGGAGAAATTGGTGTTTTGCTCAGACGAGTAAAAGAAAACATTCATTCAACAGCACCACACAGAATCGTTTGCTTAATAGCATTTCTAATATGTTATGCATTTATTCAATCTACTTCCTTCTATATTAAAATGCAAAAACAATTACTCTGGATGTAAATCCTAGAAAACAATCAAAGTTTCTATTAGATCAGAGAAGAGACAGCTAAGCAGGAATGTGATTTGCAGATGCTCATGAATAGACAATACTTGGAATCTCTCAGAGATGTGAAAAGAAGGGTAACTAGAAACACCAATTCCTTTCCTTCCTCATCCTTGCCCTTTTCTACCTATCTTAATAAGCCAGAGTTTGAAGGGGCATTTATATTTGAAGTTTAATAATTCAAATTATGCAACTGTGTGAAACTTTTTAGTGCTATACATCAGTCCCATGACAGGTGCAAACTCCTTTTCAACACTTTCTTATAGACAATTTACTTTCAGCTAACCATTCAGAGGAATATTAGCCATTCAACATTTTCACTACTCTATCTCTTAAAAATAAACTGGGTAGTTGTTTAATATAAGTATATAAATTTGGATTAAAGCCATTTCCCTTCACTAAAACTCAAAATAAGCATATTTGAGAAAAGGCAACCGCACATAATGCTATGAATAAAAGGATCTGTGTGTGGATAACAAGCATTTTACATTTTATTGTCTGATTGGAACTTTTAAAATCCACATGCTTTAATTGGGGCACTGCTACAACAATAATCTCAAATATGAGATTCAATAAATGTGTTTTCATGCTTTGATTAAATGTCAAGGCCACAGATTTGTTATTTCAGATCTGGTAGCAATAATTTCACTGGATAATAATGAACTCCTAAAGATTTATCTGAAACACTCAGCTGCCCATTACAAAGCTCTGATTCATTACAATGACTTCAACTCTGCTGATAGTATTGCAGCATCCAGTATTCAAAGCTTACACTTCAAGCACTCATTTCCTATGTGCAGTGCCCACTGAAATTTAACACCAACACTTGCCCAGTGCTACTCACAGAGGATAGCACTTGAATTTGCATGGAATTTTTCCTTCACAGAGTGTATGAACGCATTTTACAACCAGGGTGTTTTTCTTCTCTGACGTTCACTGTCTTCAGTGTCACTTGCTGGCAATTATTCTCTACTAAGGCTCGCTTCACTAAAGATGCAACTTCACAGGTTGTCAGTGTAACTATTATTTTCCATTTGATCACTATCAGCTGGAACAAGCAAGGTTTGGCCTCCAGCCACAACAAGCCAGTCTTCTATAGTGCCGTTCTCATCACCTATACTCCATTATCTCTATAGTTGTTATTACTTTTTGTTGTTGCTACAACACTTTCCATTATTCTTTTAAATTCTCTTAGCACTTCCAGACATTAAGAGCATATTATGACCCAATTTACATGGTTCCCTGTGTTGGAGAAAGGCAAAAAATTATGAAACTGTATGCCTTATGTCTCCATCACTATGCTATTACCATACATATAGCTTATAAAAATCAACAGAAAACCACATCTTCGTTTAAAAAGATATACAAATAAATATTATTTCCTTTGGTTTCCACATGGCATATTTACCAACGATCTTACACAGGACAGATAGGGCTGGATGTTTTTTTAAGATTGTTTTTCAACAGTTTGGATTTAATTATATATCCTTGCATGATAGTATGTTCATGTGGGCTTTGTTCTAGTTTTGTAGTGTCCTGAAATAAAAAAAAAAACATGCATACTGATGTCTCATTTGCTAAGTTTGTATCCTCATTCAGCAACCCACTCATCCGAACTATATGAGTGAGATCAGCAAGGTACAATGACTGCCTTGTACAGCAGTTTTGTTTTTTTAGTGGGCATCATTGTAACTTATAATTTAAAAATGGTATCCATTCATCTATTCATTTAGCAGAAATTTATTGAGTCAATAAATGCCAGCCAGTATTTTAGTTAAGCATTAGACATACAGAACAAAAGCCAGAAAGAAGCAAGATGGCTCAGTTGGTAAAGGCAATTATTGCCAAGACTGATGCCCTGAATACAATCCGAGAGACCCACATAATAGAAAAGGAGAACTAATTCCCAGAGGTTTTCTCTCACTTCCACAAGTATGCCAAGGCATGCATAAACACACACACACACACACACACACACACACACACACAGAGAGAGAGAGAGAGAGAGAGAGAGAGAGAGTAAATAAGTACATGAATATTTAATAATATTGATAAAATAAAACAGAAAATCTAGGAAACTACTGCAGAGGTAATATTCAAGCAGGAATAATGGGAAGAATGCAAAAGAACAAAAGCAAGCACATTGTTTCTGAAAGTCCTGACTTCTATGGAAACAATGGCAACCATCATAAATGGAGATCTCAATGAGGGAATCTATAAATAAAGCATTACTGAATAGAAGAATTAAAGCCAAATTTTTATAAATGGCATTCAACATCATTTAATGTGTTCACTGCTAGATGATAAATGATTAATTTTTCTTTCCTAGGTAAATTTTAAAAGGAGTAATGTTTAAAGTCATTGTGTGAAGAAGAAAGGCATGGTTCATGCTCTTGAACTGAGAAAGACACTGAGCTAGCATGAAAGTATTTTAGTGGCATATAAGGTAATAGATTCTTTACTCACTTGGTTGGTCAAGTGAGGACCTATGTATGGCTAACACACCTTTATGGAACATGAGGTAAGCTAAAGATGGCTGATAATGGAGACAGGATCTAGAATAAAGCTAAGATGGAATTATTAAGTAGTAGTCCTGTCTACTTGGACCAACTCATTAGATCTTTCAAAACCTCACTCTGTCACTGAGAAATGGGCATAGCTCTACCTGCTGTCGAGATTATGGCACAACTCGTACCAAAACATGGATGGGAGCTGAATTGGAGTTCTAAAGTAGCTCGTTACTAGTTTGACCATTGCTGCTATTTTTGTTGTTCCTTGTTGTTAATGTAAATAATAAGGGCCTTTAAAAGAATCTTTATGACCAGAGCTAACGCTATCTGTCCATGGAAACTGGAATTAATCTGCATTGCAGAAAATGGCACAGTCTTTATAACCTATACTTCACATAACAGAGAGAAATCACAAAGCTTAGGAAAGCTAGGATTTTCATCTTCATATACCCATTATTCTGAGTGTAGTTGCTTCTCATATAAGATGTGGCAGTTTTGACCAAAACAATATTATCCCCTCCAAGAAAATCCAAGCATCAGAAATGATAAAAAAAACTGTTTTCTTAATTTTTGTATTTATTTTTATGTGGGTGCAGAAAGTAATGCCTAGTTCACAGTAAGATGTGCAAACATTCAGCAGACATGAATACTGACTGCATCCATACCTTGCTCAAAAGATTCCTGTTGAAACCAAAATCTGTAATTCAGGAAGATTTTCTCAAGCCTTCAATTGCATTTTTGTTATTCTATTTTAAATCCTTCTTGTAGTCAGTCCCTGGACAAAAATACAGCAAAGCTGCTTTAAGCAAATTGTCAAGAGTATAATGGGAAAAGCATGGAGCATGAGGGAAATCTGGCACAATTTTGAAATTAAAATACAAACTGCTCCATGCTCATTATAAAGAATACAGAACACAGACCACATCTGTGTGGCCTACTCGATGAAGAAGAGAAACAGAAAAGCACTGTCCACCAGGGATCTCACATCAGTCGGGCTGACCCCGATCAACTGAAAATGTGCTCCTGCAAGTTTCTTACAGTATTTGAGGAACAGATTTGAGAACAAAGTCTGATCATTATTTAACTTCCTTACAAAATATATTTTATTGCCTCAAGTTTAAGCAATAACACTGATAGTCTATGTTTTTGGTTTTTTTTTTTTTTTAAGCAATTAATATTGATTTCAGGAATGGCCATTTGGCATTGGATAACCATTAGAGGGCTCAGTCCCAAAAGAAGATACTTGTCCTGCCTGAGCCTTCCTTAGTTGCCTGTATTTCTTTGTCCCATGGATGTGGCTCCCATGAAACTGCCCCTTTTCATGTCAGCATGTCCACAAGCAATACTAAACGACCTAAGCAGGCACTCTCCTCTCTCTCTCTCTCTCTCTCTCTCTCTCTCTCTCTCTCTCGCTCTCTCTGTGTGTGTGTGTGTGTGTGTGTGTATACAATAACAACTAAAGAAAGAACATGATTTAGAGAAGGAGCAATTTAAAAATGTAAAGAGTGTCAAAATTTTATTATATTTGGGACAAAATCTGAAATACTCAGGGCCCTTAAACTCTGAGACACTGTTAAAGTTCCTCTAAAAACTGACCTTGCAATCTCTGTGATAGCATCAGAACTAAACCATGCTGCCACCTCTGACCACAGTATCTGACTAGCCTCTTGACCAGAGGCTTCCTCCTCATCTTCACAGGCTAGTGACTTCCTATTTTTTCCAACTAAATTTATTAATGATAAAACAATCTGAAGACATCTTTTGGCTGTCAACTACTCTGGCATAGATGATAAAGCAGAAGGCTTTCACAATGGAAATCAAGACAGACTAAAATGATGAGGGGGATGTCCACATGCCTATCACACCCATCCTTGTATAAAGCAATGCCTGTACTTGTGGCTACAGAATAAAATGAAGCTAGAATTCCTCTATATTATTATTATTATTATTATTATTATTATTATTATTATTATTATTATTATTTTTATTATTATTATTATTATTATTATTATTATTATTATTTTAACTTTACCTAGCAAATGCCCAGTCTTCAAATAACTCAAAGCTAGCAACTACAAAGATGGAACATTTTGACTGTCTTCCAATGGGGAAAAAGGTTTTAAAATTGCTTGAATTATCCAGATCATTACCCCCAATGTTTTCACTATAAATGAAGGGTAATTGAAAGATTTGCATAATACACTTATCTCCAAATCATGATGCTGCAAAGTAGGATGTGAGCCTTTTTCCTGTTACTCAATCAAGAGAGTGACATCCAATCCTCCATGGAACGGCCTCGGAAACCGGAAAGGCATGCGGCATCCTTCATGGATTAACCTATTGTATTCATTTCTCAAATAAACTTCGAGAGCATGGAAGAGGAAATCAGAAAGTTAAATGTCAAAGAAGCCTATGAGGAAACCTTTTCTGTTAATCGTGTGAGTATTAAAATATGAATTGATACTTATTTAACTAAAACATCTTAGGTAAGAATAAAAACTGAAAGAAGTTAGAAACCAGTGCATAACTTTCATAAACAAATTTCATGATTTTCTGAGAAGAAAGAAAGCATCCCAGTTCATGTGCACACGCACATTGTCACAGGAACATATTTGTCGTGTGTGTGTGTGTGTGTGTGTGTGTGTGTGTGTGTGTGTTTATGTGATTTATTCTTATCATAGCTAAAAAGAATCTCCAGAGTTAAGCATGTAATTGCATGAGCACTTGCCTAGTGTATACAGGGGCAGTCCTCAGCATCTCAGCATACACAGATGTGCACACACGTGCACACTCACACACAATGATGTTCAATGGTTTTGAATGGATTTAAGGTTATGAGAAAAATCATACAATTATAGAGCCTGAAGGAAATTCATTGTGCAAATGAAATCACTAAAGGTCACAAGGTTTCCTCCTTCTTGAATTTGTACATTTTCATAGTTATCTGTGACTAGTGTGTTGTGATACAGAACATCTTCCACACAGATAATGCAATTAACACCTCCAGAAAGATTTCATCTCTGACTCCCAGTTTAAAAAGTAGGATTACAGCACTTCAGTATCCTCTCAAAGTTAAGGAGAAACCATTTTCCCCTAAAGAGGAATATACTTGGAACTACAGAAATGCTAAACAATGGGAAGGATAAAGGAGAAGTTAAAAGAGGATATGAAGAAACCAAGATTCTTAGATTCTCAAATAATACCTAACAAAGTATAGTTCTGATGTAAATTAGAGTTTCTCAATGCATGGGGAGATGCCCATAGAAGAAAGCAAAGCACAAAAAGAAAGTTTGTGGCTTAGATTGTCATGTGTTCTGCTAAATTATGTTCAAAAGTCACTTTCATATGTAATATACATTAAGTGATTGGTTGAGCAAAAACTATAATTAAAATAAATATACATAATAGTTCTTTTCATAATGTAATACTTGATCATTTGTGAGCAGTAAAATATATTCCTGGCGTTCAGACTGCATCCCTCACTCACTATAGCTAGCTCTAGCAAGCAGACCTCTTCATAATGGCAACTCTCCCTCCAAAAAGGCTCTGGAGCCCACACAATATTAGCAATCCACATGGAAGGATGAAAATTTAGACTGAAATACACTTTTTGTATACAGCTAAAGCTCAGAAAGCAATCTGATTTGTCAGAAATGCATGAAAAAATAGCCCTAGGCACCAGCAAGATTTCTTATGTCTTTTTTCCATGATGCCTACCTTCATTCATTGCAGAAAAGGGTTATGGGCAGGGGGAAAACAACCAAAAAATAACAACAACCCAACCAAGCAATGTGCCTGTTGACTTGGACCACACATCCTTCTGAGAAAACAAGCAGGTGTCATTTCAGTAACAATTTGCAATGAAGTGGATCTCAGTAGTTGAGAAACATTTGGGAGCAAAATAGACACTTGAATCCATGGCTGTGTTCAGATCAAGGTACCTAAACTCTGGCTGTTTGTCTCCTCTGAGGCTAGTTAGCCTGCATTTGATGACTTAAATGATTCTGGATTTCATTTACTCCTGTGTAGATAAAAGCATTATATGAAATACTAATAATGGTAGACAATTAATTTGGAATAATGATAGACAACTAATGAGTAAAACTCACTGATCCTAATTTGTTAATGGTGCGAGATAAGAGCACTGACTACACCATGATCAAATAAAGAATTCAAAGGTTAAACTCAGATAAATGAGTTAACACCTAGACAATTATCAAAACCTTAAAACATTTTTATTCATAGACTAGCATCGTGTATCATATAAACTCAAAATGTGAAAAGAGATCAAATAACATGTAACCCAATTTCTATAGAAGAAAGGGTGTTCAGTCCACAGTTACAAAAGTGTTTTGTAAACCAGTGCCATGTTTCTTTATGCACAACAAGAGTTATTTACCTGATTCAATGATTAGGTCAATATTTTAAATATGCATATTTGAAATATCCACTTCTTGAAAAGGTGCCAAGTTCAGATAACGGCATTTGAGCAACTAGGAAAATCAAGTTTTCCAAGTTAAAAAAAAAAAAAAAAAAAAAAAGTTTCTTTTGTAGAGGTGTTTTAGTAAAACTCAACAATCCTTGGGAGTTAGGAAATAAGGGACTCTAAAGTCACATAAGAGGAGAATGGGTGTAAAGATCTTTATAAAATTAACTTAGCTAACCAGGCATTGGTGGCGCACGCCTTTGGTCCCAGCACTCGGGAGGCAGAGGCAGGCGATCTCTGTGAGTTCAAGGCCAGCCTGGTCTTCACAGTAAGTGCCAGGATAGGCTCCAAAGCTACACAAGAAACCCTGTCTTGAAAAACAAACAAACCAAAAAATGAACTTAGCTAACAATTTCCTATAGAAGAAAGAAGGAAGCTGGGTTTTAATGTCTCCATGCCACCTTTTTATCTTCACCAATTTCCCCCCTGGAATCAAATATCAAAATGTTTCTCTTCCACATGGTGCAGCCTTTATAATGCACATAATGAGGTACAAGCAAAAGGCACACTGTCTCCTTAAGCTTTTGAACTGTAAAACTTCAGTGAAAAGACAGTAGGTTTTAAATTGTTCTTGTCCACCTCTTTCTCCACTATACTAAGGGAGCCTTTTATAATGAATACCACAAAAGACAAGGTGACATTTCAGTTACTCCTGTTGTACAGACAGATTTGAGCAGTCTTTCCTGGGTACATCTACAGACCACCACAGAAGCCTCTATTGTAAATCAAATCCACTGTGCAGCATTCTCCTTATTGACTCAATTCACTAAGGACTTTGTGAGCAGATACGTCATTTTATTCATGCCCAACTCTCCATGTCTACAGGACTGCCTTCCCCAAATAGGTGATCACCAGTAGACAAACAGGGAACAGGACAACATTCTCTTCACTAAGGAGATCACTAGCCTTTTCTCCATAAAAAGACTCCTTATGGAATTCCATCTGGAAATAATTTTACTTTCTTAGATTCTACACTAAAAAAACTAAACGACACTAAAAAAACAAAATCTCAGCTATGATGAGTGTCCACAGGAATTTAAAAAAAAGAAAATATGAGAATTCTTAAAATCGATTTCCTTTAGTGAATTAAATTGGGAAGCTTCATGCTGCCAGTGTTTCATATAAAATATTTTAATCTTGTTGCTCTTCTGAGGGCAAAATCTGCATGGGGAGGCAACAAGGAGCAACTAAACAGGCTGGGAGAAAAAGTGCAGGAATTACAAGGGGACACATACACTAAGGGAAAAAATCCCACATTTCCAAGTGCTTCTTCAATTAAACAAAAAAAGGGGGAAGGATTTGAATCAGGCCACAGAAAATGCTTAGTGTAGCTGGAAAACTACAATACACATCGTTTTGTAAATTTTCAGTTTTAAAAATAAAGTGATTTATACAGTGAAATGAAAACACAGTAACTGGTATAATATGCATCCAAAAATGTTTACTGATGGACAAATAAATGTTTACTGGTAAATACATGAAAGGGAGAACACATGATAAGCTCCACTAAATGCTGACTTTGAACTTGCAGGAGTCATTCTAATAATGTAAAAGCATCTTGTAATGACGATGTGTTAAGATAAAATTTTCCACTTCTAATGACATTTCAATATCATTTAAACTTTTAAAATACTCAATTTTAAATTGTGTTGCTTTAACGGGTGAGTATATTGTCCTTAGGATGAAAAGATTAAACAGGTAATGTTTTAAAAGAGTTCTCTATTAAAAACAACTAAACAAAAGCAGTTGAAAATAACAAAAGTGAACTCCTTTACATCCCTAATGTCTGACCATTCTGAAAAATTCAACCACTTTGAAAAATGTACTCTGCTCTTAATAACACGTATTTGCACAGTGCTTAAATACCACATTTTAGGGAAAGGGGCAAGAGATTTTGTGTATACATTAAGTACTTTTTATGAATTAATCAGTCAATTCGTAATAACTACTCCTAAAATCTTTAAGACTCAAGTATTAAATCCTTGATAAATCATGGCATATAGGAACTATTTAACTATATCAGTTGTGAAGTAGTTCACATTTTCCTAAATTTGAAATGCTTTTTTTTCAAAAGTATTTATCTTTTCTTTCTTTTTTTTTTTTTTTTTTTCTATGTGAAACCCAATGAATGGCAGCTACAAAGCTGAGGCCTGGAAGAGAAGGGTGAGAATTCTGAGAAATTTACTTAAAGTTCATTTAAGCAGCAAAACTTACTTTTAGTTGCATAATTAGTATTTTTAAACCTTTTATAGCAATGTATAGGAAAGGAAGAAAAATCTTTTAAAATCAACTATATACCTGAAATCTTCAAATGACCAACAGTGAAAAACATTTTCTCAGTGGTGAAACCAAAGCATAGGTTGAAAAGGTAGCTATATTTTAAAATGGCTGTAACATCCATCATTTTCTCACCCTCTAATAGACTCTTCATAAAGAAAGGTGAAACTTCTATCTAATTTTAAAATCTCAATACAAGAGAAGATAATTGTGGTAAAAGCCTGATGGCACATCTTTTCTCTATTCTTTTCTGATTGCTGTTTATTGTTGGATACTTGAATCATTTTTAAATTATGATAATTATTGTTTGATTTGCTATCATTCAATACAAACAGTGGAAAGACACTGTTGCAAGCTAATAATCAGTAAAGTATTAACTAAGTTCTGATCAGCCAATTAAATGTATTAATACAATCAAATAAATTGAGTTGAACAATATCCCTAATCACAATAATCTTATGCTCTGGGAAGAATAATAATCAAACCATTCAATGTCCAGCAAAAGAATAATCAGTCAGTACACAGCTATTCATAATCTAATAACCTAACATATATACTGTCCACTACTAATAATCTCATTTTGAGCAGATTCTTAAGGAATGTGGACAGCAATTAAGACAACAGATGAGAGGTAACAAAGAAAAAGCTAGCCCAAGGGCTTGGTTTCAGGATCAACTGAGAAAACAGGTTACACAGGTCCAGCTTCTACATGAGTATTGTTTCCTGTGGCAGAAAAGGAAGTTGTCCTTCTCATGACTGTGATAATGAAGAGCTTTAGTCCAACTTTGCTGTCTCTGAGCCTGTATTCATAAGTAAGCTGCACATGTATGACTCATCATTTCATAAGACGTATAACAGGTGTAACATCAACCTTATGTAAAATATAGGTAAGACACAGTTTTTGTAAGCAGTAAAACACATACAAATAAGAGCAGTAAAATTTATTGAAATTTTTAAAACTAAACACATTAGATTCTTTAAATTATATGTAAAATGATGAACATGTGCAAATGTACATTTACTCATGTAATCCATTCACTGGAGCACTGAAAACTTCCAAGTCTATTTTGCTAATGGAGCAATGGTGCTGTCCAATAGACCAAGGAATTGTCATCTTTCAGTAACATTTCTTGTAATAAAATAACACTTCTGTTTTTTTATATTAGTTCCTTGTGTAAAAATGTGTGAGTCACCCAATTGTTACTTGTTTTGGCAAAATGAATTTTCTAAACTTGAAAATCTGAAGATGAGGGCTTTAACTCTAAGAACAAACATCCCTTTGTAGTAAATGTGTTAAAATTTCCTCCTCATTTCTACTCATGTGGGCAGTATGACATTCTAGAAAGTGTTGAGCACATAAAGGGAGAAAAACTGCACACCCTATTGTTTATTATGCAAATGGTCTTAGGCATGTGGGACCTCAGACAAGAGAGATGATATCTTGTTCAGTTTCTGTGTGTGTTCATCAAAAGCACATGGTTTGACAAGCATCTCACTAACCTATCTCTCAAGGCAATTGCTAACATAAGCAGTGGCTAATAAAGCGAGGTGAAAGCTACGAAGCAATAAGAAGTAAGATAATACTGATTCTGCCTTAAGACTCTATAAGTAACCCATGCTTAAAGCTGTTAGTATAAGCGTCACAGTAATTTCCAGAGATATAAGAAAATAAAAAGTCGACATTCTAATAGAGGCTAAATGTCTATAGCCTTTTTTTTCTTTCCACCTGACAGATTCTTCCCATAGATGAGTTCAAACAAACTTGGAGATTATACACCACTGTAAGAGCACTTATATTTTAAAGTCTTCTGGATAAACCTAGTTCAAAATCTGCTGTCTCCAGGTTACAGCTAAGCAATTGATGGAATGGAATCAGAAAAAAATATACTAGTTAAGCATAAATAGAAAATTTCAAAGAAACCCCCCAAAAAATTTCTAAACAAAAACTTACATTCTTATGTTAATCATATCATTTAATGATTCACCTTCTGCTTCACTTGCAGGATACAAGCTCCCCTTGACAAAGCTGGAGAAATCAGAACCAACCAATTAACTGGCGGACGTCATGGTTCCTTCATTCTCAGTTGAGTGATTCATGAACGCATACAGAAATACATTTTGTACTTTTCACCTAGGCTTTTCCTTCATCTTGGACATGAGGTAATGGGTTTCTATACTGATTTTATTCAGTTGCCATTCCTGCAGACTCCCATATCCCTGGCATAATTTTTGCATGTATTCTGTGGTTTACTAGTGCTTTGTCCTCCTGACTGAAAGTTCCCTATAGTAAGTTATAATATTCAAATGAGGTTTTCTCTACTGGCTATTAACCCAATAACTGAAAAACAGAACTTTTTCAATAAATGCCACTAAATCATAAATGAATGAATCGCAGATATAGTGTATCAGTGGTTCTCAACCTGTAGGTCATGACACCTTGTGGTCACATATCAGATATTATGATTCATAACAGTGGAAAAGTTACAGTCACAAAGTAATGTCATGGTTGGGGGTCACCACAACATGAGGAGCTGTATTAAAGGGTCACAGCATCAGGAAGACTGAGAACCATGGCAGCAGACTGACTGAGAAAGTCTAACACTCCTTTGTATCATCCTCCGAATTAATACTTCAATCTTATGTAAAAATATAGTTAACATACAGATTGTGCAAGTAGTAACATGAATACAAATAAGAGCAGCTAAATTTATTGAAGTTTAAAAATGAACAAATTAGATTGCTTAAGTGATATGTAAAATGACAGAAATGTACATTTACTCATGGAATCCATTCACTGCAATCCAAATTACTCCTGGAGCATGTGCTAAATTCTAGTTACTATGGTCAGGAACTGGAGGTAAGAAGCCAAGCAAAGCTCATATTCTCGAGATGGTATGACTGGAACCATGACAGGCTGAGAGGCAAGGCAGACAAATTAAACAAAAGGCAGGCTTCCCAGAGGACACAGGCTTCAAGTGGGAGGAAAACAATTCAAGGCAAGTTAAGTGAAAAAAGAAATCACAATTCAATTTTAGATAAAATCACATTTCCGAGTGTTAGGGGGGGAAGACAAGTTAGCTGTGAATTTTAACTGTGAGTGATTTATAATTTTTAGAAACAAGGAATTCTTCATTTTAAAATACTAATATTACTAAGTCTCCATAGAGAACATGTCTTTGGAAGTTTATGTGTGCCACTGAAGCACTGACCTTATCCTCACCCAAGTATGCCATTGTAACCATCAATACTGGGAGACAACAAACCCAAAATGAAGAGTCTAGACATGCCTGACTGTCTAAAATATGTGTAGATAGTGGAGCTTACCAGCAATCTACCTGGATGGAATACAGGCCTAACTACTATATCCTGTAGACCCTATATCAAATTGTAGCTTGCTTTTGGAACTCCTTCATTTTCTGTGACAAAAATACCAGTGTTCATATAAAGAAGGAACATGCACTTTGCTGATGTAAAATGTTGCTTTTTACTATAAGTGACTGATGGGGTATAAATTATTATCAATGATAAATAATCAAATTTTAATCTGAAGTTATTCTCACACAAGTATGTCTATAGCAAGGTAGATCAGATTGCCTCCAAATCCTGCAACTCTCAAGTCACTTTATGCAAAGCAGACTATATAGAGAGGTAGGATTGAAGTTAGGGAATTGTACTAAATTTCACTATTTAGCTCATTCAGCAATCAGGTACAATTTTGCTCCCATTGCTAACCCTGAGGGGTGAAGGAACTACAGGCCCACTTTTGATTATAACAGAACAGTATTGTTTCTATACATCACACAGTAAAACTTACCACCCCCTGCAAGGTTGTCTTATTTTTTTCACTATAGCTAATTCTTAAAAGACAAAGCAAAATATAGTAACTAAAATTGGAGCTATAAACAAAGAATTGAAACAACTGAAAATTCTGGAAGCATAGTTATCCTACTTAATGAATCTTCAGTCTTTTGAAGATTAAATTTCTTGATTCATCTCATATCTGGGCCAACACTAAGGACAAAGTCATCAAAATGTCCTGAAATAACAGTAAACTCTAACAATATGATATATGTGAAATGATTATAATTAGCTAAACATTAATTATGGACTATCCTCTTGAATTAATTTTTTCTCTCCCTTTGATTGCATTTAGAATAATGCCTCTACATCTACTAGACAACATGGGATTTGAATTTTAGATTTTTAAATAAATGAATCGCTCCACAGCCTATGATCATCTATACATACCCCATCTTCGAAGAGTCCATCAATACCCTGGCACTGAGGAGACAGCAACCAGCTTTACTCCACTATGCATGCCATTTTTGGAAAATACATCTGTGACACTCATAGTTATTTCCATGAAGAAAACATCTACAATTCTATTGAATTCATCATTTGACAAATACAAGTACATCCCTCATCAGTCAACTTATACTGAACTTACTGGTGGCGACGGGAATCCTTAAGGGCCTATTAAATTTCTAAAGAAGAAAGCTAAGATGAAGGACATGCCACTCCAAATTCATGTGCTGTTTGGCCTAGCTATCACCACACTAGTACAAGCTGTAGATAAAAAAGTGGATTGCCCACAATTATGCACATGTGAAATCAGGCCTTGGTTTACCCCCAGATCCATCTACATGGAAGCATCTACAGTAGACTGTAATGATTTAGGGCTTTTAAACTTCCCAGCCAGATTGCCTGCAGACACACAGATTCTGCTCCTACAGACTAACAACATTGCAAGAATTGAACATTCCATAGACTTCCCAGTGAACCTTACTGGCCTGGACTTATCTCAAAACAATTTATCTTCTGTCATGAATATTAATGTACAAAAGATGTCTCAGCTTCTTTCTGTGTACCTAGAGGAAAACAAACTAACTGAGCTGCCTGAAAAATGTCTGTATGGGCTGGGCAACTTACAAGAACTCTACATTAATCACAATTTGCTTTCTACCATTTCGCCCGGAGCCTTTATTGGCCTACACAACCTCCTTCGACTTCATCTCAATTCAAACAGACTGCAGATGATCAACAGTAAGTGGTTTGATGCTCTTCCCAATCTAGAGATTCTAATGATTGGGGACAACCCCATCATCAGAATCAAAGACATGAATTTCCAGCCCCTTCTCAATCTTCGCAGCCTGGTTATAGCTGGCATAAACCTCACAGAAATACCAGATAATGCATTGGTTGGGCTGGAAAACTTGGAAAGCATCTCTTTTTATGACAACAGGCTTATTAAGGTACCCCAAGTTGCTCTTCAAAAAGCTGTAAATCTCAAATTTTTGGATCTAAATAAAAATCCTATCAACAGAATACGAAGGGGTGATTTTAGCAATATGCTACACTTGAAGGAGTTGGGGATAAATAACATGCCTGAACTCATCTCCATTGACAGTCTTGCTGTGGATAACTTGCCAGATTTAAGAAAAATAGAAGCTACTAACAACCCCAGATTGTCTTACATTCACCCCAATGCATTTTTCAGACTCCCCAAGCTAGAATCCCTCATGCTGAACAGCAATGCCCTCAGTGCCCTCTACCATGGTACCATAGAGTCTTTGCCAAACCTCAAGGAGATCAGCATCCACAGCAATCCCATCCGATGTGACTGTGTCATCCGCTGGATTAACATGAACAAAACCAACATTCGATTTATGGAACCAGATTCTCTATTCTGCGTGGACCCACCGGAATTCCAAGGCCAGAATGTACGGCAAGTCCACTTCAGGGATATGATGGAGATTTGCCTCCCTCTTATAGCTCCTGAGAGCTTTCCTGCTAGCTTGGATGTCGATACTGACAGCTATGTGTCCCTTCATTGCAGAGCTACTGCAGAACCCCAGCCTGAAATCTACTGGATCACACCTTCTGGTCAAAAACTACTGCCAAACACTCTGAGAGAGAAGTTCTATGTGCATTCTGAAGGCACACTAGACATAAGTGGAATAACACCAAAGGAAGGGGGGTTATACACATGTATAGCAACTAATCTAGTTGGTGCTGACTTGAAGTCTATTATGATCAAAGTGGGAGGCTCGGTTCCTCATGATAATAACAGTGCGCTGAATATTAAAATAAGGGATATTAGGGCCCATTCTGTCCTGGTGTCTTGGAAAGCAAGCTCTAAAATTCTCAAATCCAGTGTTAAATGGACAGCCTTTGTCAAGACTGAAGACTCTCATGCTGCCCAAAGTGCTCGAATACCATCTGATGTCAAGGTATATAATCTTACTAATCTGAAACCATCTACTGAGTATAAAATTTGTATTGATATTCCCACCATCTACCAGAAAAGTAGAAAACAATGTGTGAATGTCACCACGAAAAGTTTGGACAGTGACGGGAAAGAATATGGGAAGAGTCATACAGCATTTATGGCCTGCCTTGGGGGCCTTTTGGGGATTATTGGTGTCATGTGTCTTCTCAGCTGTGTCTCACAGGACATGAACTGTGAGGGTGAACACAGCTACTCAAGGAATTACTTTCACAAACCAACCTTGGCATTCAGCGAGTTTTACCCCCCTCTGATCAACCTCTGGGAACCAGGCAAAGAAAAAACTGCACACTTGGAAGTTAAAGCAACTGTTATAGGTGTGCCAACAAACATGTCCTAAAAACTACCAACCAAACCTACTTCAAAAAAAAAAAAAACTCAAGACTGAGTAGTGCTAAAGAATAAAAAAAAATAACAAAAAAAAGAAAGAAAAAGGAAAACAGGAATAGACAAACTACAGCAAAATCAGGCAGAGGAATGTTACTCTCTGGAAGGCAGATTCAGCTTCCCCAGTGCTGCTCCTGGCCAATAGAAACATGGAAGTTGAGCATTTTAATTGACTGGCTTCAAAGGGTACTGTGGCAACCAAATAAAATTTCCATTTTCTAGAACTTTCATGTAACTTTTCTGTCAGGACTACAGTTAACGTGAACAAAAACATTTCTGTATTTTTTTTAAGTATAGAAGAGTAGTTGAACTGAGCAATGCCTCCTCCTGTGTTGTATTACACATGTTAGCCACGAATTTTTGCAGTGACCAGATAAATTTGAATTGACACGTGGTGTAAGGAAAAGGACAAATTCTGTAGAGTAGACACAGTGAGTATGTGGACCTCTTTTATAAGGAAAAATACATTTTGGATTAAAATCAATTGCTTTTGTCTTGTTTTTGTTTCTAAATAAAGAATAATTTCTGGGAAATAGCATCTGATTAGAAGTCATTTAAATGCCAGTGGTTTTTAATGGTATTTTCTACGTTCACATTTGGAATGGTATGAGTGAGACTTTCATTGGGTTCACTTACTACATTTTCCTGATATACAAAATGGATTTTAGACAGCATTTTATTAATATTAAAAGGTAATAATATTATATTTAACACCTCGATTATTAATTAAAATAATTCCTCCAGGAAATTATTAATTCATTTAAAGGTTTTTTTTTCAAACAAGGAGATTTTGGAAGAGGATTTAATCTTTAAGTTCAAATGGTGTAAATTCCATACTGCGGAAGTCAAGGCCTAATTTTAAAAATGAATTGATCCACTGGAATTTGCTGCTGTGCAAAATCTTTGGCCACATTTCAGTAGGACTTACTGATCTAAGCTTATTTTCACATCTCTTTGAGACTTTAAATAATGAGCTTCAGTGATGTAACAAGTAATTTAATAACCTGCTACACCGAAAATAACAGTAAGGAAACATGCTCCATTTTAAGAGTGGGATTTTAGAATTTCACTATAAAATATGAATAAGTAGCAAAACTTTATAAGAGTCAACTCTTTGGAACTCTAACTTAGATTTTTCTTTACTCAAATTAAAAACAATATAACCCAGGTGATTCTGGTGTTCACTGTAAAGTAAAATGCAGTTTAGTCTAGAAACAACATCTATCTAAGCAAACTAAACTCACTTCAGCGTTGCTATGTAACACAGGGTGGCCTTGAACTCTTGATTCCCCTGCCAGAACCCCCCAAAGGGAGGGATTATAGCTATATACTGCTACTAAAAAGAGTCAGGGGACAGTTTTATTAACTAAGAAAACTACAGAAATAAAGTATAATACACTAACACTATATTACATAAATTATCTAAAAATATGGGTTAAAATGATTTCAGATTATAGAATGAAAAATACTATTTTAAAATCCTTTATATGAAGTGAAAGAATCTTACTTGAAAAAACTAACAAAAAACTAGTGAGACTGATAGTTTTAGTCATTTTGCAAAAAGGAATGTCCTTTAAAAAGTCCATTTTTTAGACAAATGAAATATTCTAAAATGCAAACACTGATTTTAAGAAATAAGCCATAATTTGAAAGGCAAATTGCATTTCTTTACAGTTACGAGTTTCTATATTAATAACTGTTGTGCTGTTCCGAATCAGATGTTTAACATTCTACAGTAGCTGAGAGCATATGATCAGCACAGCACCAGCCTGTAAGCATTCCCAGCATGGCGGCCATATCAATTTATTTGTTGATATTACACATTTCTTTTGTATAAGAATTGACAGATTCTAATTAAATCCTAGCTGGTTTTGACAATATGGAAGGTAATTGCTATGAACTCTTTAAAATGAAAGGACAGGCTGTGTTAATTTCAACAAAATGAAAATATGGAACTTGTTAATTCATTGTGTTTCCCAAGCACAAATTTTACAACCTGATGAATCGCTATCACAAAGAAGCTGACATTAGAATTCATCAGTAAGACATGCTCATATATCATGAGAGGCTTCAGCACCACGGATAGAGCTCTGTGAGGCTCAGCTATTTATCAAAAACCTAAGAGCTGAAATATGACCTATTAGGATACAGTTACTGTATAGGTCAGCAAGGTATTAAGCATATACCTTGTATTTCTTTTAAATTTGCCTTCCTGAGGAACCATCACAGTCATATCTAAAGCTTACAATGCATTTCAAGCTACACACTTCCTTTGAAAATTGTTCTGAAATAAGCCCAAATAATAAAGAGGTAGTAGAAGGCACTTCAATGAATTTTTGTCATCAACAAATCAATGCAGGTAGTTGAAGTATGTTATGATTTTATTTATTTAAGTCTTTTTCCAATGTATCATCAAGGAAAAAAAGAATTTCCTTTCAATAATGAGAATAGCATTCAACATTCCCTACACAAACTCCTAAACAACCACAAAATTAACTGAGCATTAGCCACATGACTCCCACATAATTTACAGGTTAATTGTAAATATAGAACCATATAGAATCACTTGTTGCAATGAAGTATACTTAAGAAACAGAATATTCTGAAGTTTATATCTCCACAAATACCAATTGATGCACTTAACCTATATGGAGAAAAGCAATCTCTCACAATAATTATTTCAAAAGAATGACATAATCTCACATTTTATTAGTATGAACCAAATTCAAGATTATTTTTGAAAAGAAGCATGCTAAAATAATACAAAAACTACAGTCATGATTGTACCATTAGAAAACTGGTACCAATACATGGAGATGAAAATTTCCTATTGACTAATGATATTCTAGCCGTCTGAAAAATTAGAGCACAATGCCTTATACATGACTGGATGCTGATGTAAATGAAAACTTTATGTGCTATCAGTTGAATCAATGCACAATTCCAGATAGTGCATGATTTTGAAGGGAGGATAACTAACCATTGCTAGTGGAATATTACACTATGCTTTCATCATTAATTGGAGTGCAATCCTTCTGCCTATTAAAAAAGTGAACTATAAACAGTATGGCATGTTGTGATGAGGACAGCCTCATACACCCCATTTATGGGATGTCCACACAGTGATGACATCAACTCAGCATGCAGTTTCACAGTGTAAGCTATCATCAAGTGACACGTAACTGTATGGGAAAGCAATAAAAACACAGACAATAGTAACAAATTCAAGATCCTATATTGCATAATCAAGTTTCCCTAGGAAGAATAAAGTGGAGTTTTGAGGTAGACTGACTAATATCTAGATGAATATAAAGGTATACATGTATGTATTATAATTATAAATGTTAGAAATTTTATTCTATTCAGACAGCAAAATTTTAAGCAAACTGTGAATTGGAATAAACTGAAAATGATAATTACTCAGTATATTCACTTATCTACATTTTGTATATTCTCATGAAATGCTAACTTTATGGCTATTAATCTCAGGGAAAACTCTGAGCAGGAAAAATTCCCCTGAACAGAGAGATTTATATTCTACATTTTCTCTTGCATTTTTTTCTACCTAGCTGTCACAGATATTTATCAACTGTGCTACTTAGTGGCATCAAAGCATTAGTTTGTCACCTTACATACCACACTACTCAGAAATCACAGAACTTTTAAGCTCAAAACATCTCACATACAGAAATACGTTAACATAGGAAACTTGTTAAAATATATTTCTGATTCTATTCCCTTAATTATTAAAACTAGCCTAATACTATCTTTAGACTAATTAAATAGAGATTTCTATCTATTTGCCATAGATTATTTCTAACTATAGAAACATGGATTTTTTTTAAGACTGAGAGAGTTTGGTCATCCTAGAAAATGTTAAATTAAATTCAAGAAAGTAATTTAGTGCTGACCAACTGTTTATATCTCTTACAAGGAGCGTCACTTGGCTCTTAAAAGATCTTTCAATGAAAGATCCAAGAACGCTTAAATTCCTTCTAGTAACATGTCAGAGAAAATGTTCAGAACCGTAATATCTGACAATTACAAAATTAATAATAAAACACCAAAGTTTAAAGGTATAAGTTTGCTGTAGAAGGGCAAGATTCCAACAAAACTTCCCTGCAACTGTTATAAAAAGCAGAGAAACCTCTAATTGTATTTATCAGCATTAGAGACATCTTGATCTTCATTCCAATGCTGGCTTTTCTAGAAAACACAGAATAATTAACAGGAACTAATTTCCATGCTAGAATTGTCATAACATAATAACATAGTTTTCATTTTCTACAATAATGATATTTGTAGATATTACACTACCTTATATGTTAGCCTTTTCTAACTGATGTATATGTATAAAATCATAGCATTATGTGACCATGGTAAAGAACAAGCAACTATTCATTAAAACAACAGTATAGTGTCTGAAATTATCAATTCAAAAATCCAATTGAGCTACACATGTATAGAATTTAATAATCTCTGGTACAAATAAGGGAGTAAGCTCGGGGACATAACTTGACCTTCCTAATCCTCACAATGAGGTAATATAAAAACCTCCCTGGTATTTGGAATACCAGTATCCAGGCTGAGAGACAGAATTGGTTCTTCAACTATCAGGAACGATATTGTTAAAATAATGCAACAAAAAACACCAAAACAATTCTTCAAAAGTATATGACCCAATATTAACATTTATTATGAGGACTCGATTAAGGTAGGAAATTTACAATAAATGTATCTTTAATAGTTACAAAGAAAAAAATACAAGCAATAAGAAACAAAAATTCTTATCTGTAAAAGCACATAAAGGGACCAGCCATCTCTTTCCTGTTTACTACTCAGCTGATCAATAAACCAGCATTTCAGTACTTAATGTTTCATAGAGGAACACTTATTTTATGAGGAGTCAAAATCTGTTTTCATTCTATAGTATCAGCAAATCAATTAAGGTTTGTGTGTGTAACAAAGTACAGCCTCCCAAACTCTCAAAAGGAATAAACAGTAAGACACAGCAGGATCACCTCTCTCTGATAGTAACATTTTAATCAATAAAAGTTAAGTAGTTGTAACATAAAAGACCTATATTAAAAATTGTAAAAATAAAAAATTGTGTGGGTAGGGGTGACTAGTATTCCTTCCACTGGATCATGTGAGTCTCAATCCAGACCTGCCCCTGCAGTAACTAGTTAATAAGTTCAGGCACTCCCCTGTAAGTGATAAAATACCACTTCAAAATTGTTACTAACATTTGCAACAATACACATGCATATTATGTAGGAAGAAGGGAAAAAAAAAAAACAAGGAAACATTCACCAACACCAAATGTCAAAATGAGCAGTGGTTTTTAGGAAGTTATACCAGACTTAAAAAAAGAACATGAGAAAAATAAACTTCACAAGTAGTAGCCAAGAATATGATTGACACTTCTTTCTCCCTCTCCCTTCCTCTCTGACTTGCCCTCTCTCAGAGAGACCATTTGAACTC